CATATACTATCGTAATCGTGTGTTTATTACCTTCTTTTTCACATGTAGAAATGTTTCTTTGGGTTTGTTTTTCACGGAGCTCAGAAGTGTGCAGGACCGCGTCGTCCATAAGCACCTACCAGTGTAGCCACATGGTAACGTTGGTTAGTATTCCACGTCCAACAACGTTATCTTCAAATTACATGTAAAGCCATGTTTTTGTACAACAATTTGAAAACTGTAAAGACTGTGGAAATGTACCTAACCAACTAATGTTACTTTGCTAACTTTATTCCTACCTTAAGTTCAGTCTGCGTGTTCCTCTTCATTTGGAATGCAGGGGGTTTCCAGACCAACAAAACATGAAGGGAAGTAATTATTTTGTACTGAGTAAATAAAACAAAGTTATTGTTTGTTGTGTGTGTGTACCTAAGAAGATTGGCTGGGATTACGTAGATAAAATTTGCAAAGGAAAAAATGCACATTGTCTTGTGTTTTGAACAAATGCAGATTAATTCAAAACTAGATATATTCACGTAAAGATGCAAACTTAACATTTTATTGTTAATATCACAGATTTAATTACATAACATTTACAACCACAGATTTTTTTTTTCAGTGTGAAAAAAAAATAGTTTATTTAGACATTAGTTACGTGATGGCATTAAGTGTTTTTTGCCTCTTGGCAGAAGAAGATAACAGTATGCTCTCTCTTATCCATTTCTTTCAAAGAGATTTAATTATAGCAACATTAAATAGCCCCACAACTTATTACAGATATAAGATAGAAGCATCAGCTTGCATGCAGACTTTCTCAACCAAAGACTGATGACTCAGAGTTTATAAACAGGACTAAGCTGACCTATAGACAAGATTCATGACTGTTTCGCCAACTTCTTTCGTACAGCTTAGCGGGTAGTGTGTTATATCCATTGCATTTGGCGAGGGAATTTGAAATCAGATTGGACGATGCCAAATATTTCTTATCTAGCAAGAAATATGAGCTCCAGCAAACAGCAGACGGTAAAAGAAATACTAACTTGTTTGAGAGACTAATGTGCTAATGCGCCAAAATATTGTTTTTCTTATTAAACTACAATGCGAATGTGTAAAATGTTGTTAATGTGAACGGATATGCATTGATGTATTGAAATATCACACCTTTGGAAGATTAAGGCACAGAAATGGGGTCCTGCTAACAATGATTTGATGTCCCATTAGCTTAAAAAAAACTAGCAATTGTGAAAAAAGTGCTGTAAACCTTTGAAATATACTAAGATTCTGCAAATGTTTTTGTGTAAATCACATGCCCATTTCTTTAACATTAGCTTTAGCTGATGTAGCAGTGCGACTGGTTATTCTCAAGTTTAAGCACAGGTATCTTCATTACCTGTCGGTTGGCTTTCCTCAACACTTGGCTGAGCAGGGCTGAACTAAACACTGAACACATTGGTGCAAGCTGTTGATAATTACAGTAAGGGCCGCTCAGACGCACAGGAGTCAATATGTCCTGGTGGATTTTTTTTAGGATCTTGCCTAATTTCGGAACAATTTTGCATGTTCGCATGCATGGTCATGTTTCACATTCTCCAGAGCAATAAAGTGAAGGCTCAGGAGCCCCAAAAAACAGGGTAGTAAACTCAAATGTGCCCTTATTTCCACCAAACTTTCTTAAAGGATTGCTCAAATGTGTGAATTTGAGGGATTTATTATGTTCTAGATTGTAAATTCTTGTGTTAATCCTTTAAGTATAGGTATTATATTCAGTGGACCCTTCAACCGTGATTGTCATTGTGGAATGTGTCAATGCTAAAGCTTGTAATATAAGAAAATCACTGGCCTTTTCTACTAAAATGGCTGTTCAAGTGTTTAAATTTTAAAACCAGCCCAAATTCTGAGATTCCCCGCCCCCCCCCAAACACGGCACACTAATTTGGGGTAAAATATTCTATAACTTGTCTAAACTTGACTAGTTATGAGCTACTCATTTAAAAAAAAAGCTACACTACATAATACTAACACAAATCTGAATCTTTATTAAGTGAATCATCTGAGTGAACAGATTCATTCCAGTGAATCAGAATACCCAACTCAAACAAAATTCTAATTCAAATAACCAAATACTGTAGAAAACATACTTGGAAAAAAAGATGGAAG